ACAAGGGATTAATCTCCAAAATACACAAACAGCTCATGCAGCTCAATATCAAGAAAACAACCCAATCAAAAAATGGGTGGAAGATCTAAATAGACATTTCTCCAAAGAAGACATATAGATGGCCAAAAAGCACATGAAACGATGCTCAACCTCACTGATTATTAGAGAAACGCCAAATCAAAACTACGATGAGGTATCACCTCACACTGGTCAGAATGGGCATCATAAAAAAATCTACAAATGGGGACTTCCCTGGTGGCGCAGTGGCTAAGACTCTGCACTCCCAATGCAAGGGGCCCTCGTTCGATTGCTGGTCAGGGAACTAGATCCCACACACACACTACAGCTAAGGAGACCGCCTGCCGCAACTAAGACCCGGCACAACCAAATAGATAAATAGTTTTTAAAAACCCTACAAACAATAAATGCTGGAGAGGGTGTGGAGAAAAGGGAGCCCTCCACTGTTTATATCCTCCACTGTTGGTGGGGGTATAAATTGGTAGCCACTGTGGAGAACAGTATGGAGGTTTCTTAAAAAACTAAAAATAGAGCTACCATATGACCCAGCAATTTCACTCCTGGGCATATATTCAGAGAAAATCACAATTTGAAAAGAGACATGTACCCCCAGTGTTCACTGCAGCACTATTTACCATAGCCAGGACATGGAAACAACCTAAATGTCCATCAACAGAGGAATGGATAAAGAAGATGTGGTACATATATATAGTGGAATATTAGTCATAAAAAAGAACAATATAATGCCATTTGCAGCAACATGGATGGACCTAGAGATTGTCATACTGAGTGAAGTAAGTCAGACACAGAAAGACAAATATCATATGATATTGCTTATATGTGGAATCTTAAAAAAAAAAAAAGGGTACAAATGAACTTATTTACAAAGCAGAAGTAGAGTCACAGGTGTGGGAAACAAACTTACGGTTACCAGGGGATAAGAGGGGAAGGGATAAATTGGAAGATTGAGATTGACATATACATACTACTATATATAAAATAGATAACTGATAAGAACCTGCTGTATAGGACAGGGAACTCTACTCAGTACTCTCTGTAATGGCCTATATGGGAAAAGAATATTAGAAAAAAAGAGTGGATATATGTATATTTATAACTGATTCATTTTGCAGTACACCTGAAACTAACACAACATTGTAAATCAACTATACTCGAATAAAAATTTTAAAAAAAATGAATTTCTTGAATTCCCTGGTGGTCCAGTGGTTAGGACTACCTGCTTCCACTGCAGGGGGCATGGGTTCAATCCCTGGTTCGGGAAGTTAAGATCCCGCATGCAGTGCAGTGCGGCCAAAAATTAAAAAAAAAAAAAAGTCTTGCTTAATCTTCACAAGAATTAATTTCTTCTTAAATTTGATCAGAAGATAGACCTAACCTCATCCATTCCTAATTTTTATTGTAACATAAGATGTTGGGGAGGGGCTTCTCTGGTGGCCCAGTGGTTGAGAATCTGCCTGCCAATGCAGGGGACACGGGTTCGAGCCCTGGTCTGGGAAGATCCCACATGTTGCGGAGCAACTAGGCCCGTGAGCCACAACTACTGAGCCTGCGCGTCTGGAGCCTGTGCCCCGCAACAAGAGAGGCTGTGACATTGAAAGGCCCACACACCACAATGAAGAGTAGCCCCTGCTTGCCGCAACTAGAGAAAGCCCTCGCACAGAAACGAAGACCCAACACAGCCAAAAATAAATAAATAAATTTATTTTTTTTAAAAAAATGATGTTGGGGGACTTCCCTGGCGGTCCAGTGGTTAAGACTCCCCACTTCCACTGCAGGGCCACGGGTTCCGTCACTGGTCGGGGAACTAGGATCCTGTATGCCGCGTGGTGTGGCCAAAAATTAAAAAAAAAAAAAGATGTTGGAACTTTAGCAGAGGCATTAAGGTACAAGAGTGTGAAATTTGGAAGTGGGGTATTTCATGTTTAAGAACCAGTTAGAGGCTCTAAAATACATAAGAAGGAGACTTATGGGTCATGGAAGAACATTTTGTGAGGATTCCTTTAAAAATTATGCTGTTGCTTCCCCCCGCCCACACACACACCATGGGAGAACTGGGGGTACAAACTCACTTGATATCTAGTGAGAGGAGCTTTAGAGGGACCACTTAGAGATTTAAAGGATTCTCTTCAGTTAGGGGGTACAGAGGACTGAGGTCTGGATCCCCTGAGAAATCCATCAAGGAGAGAACTGTAGCTGGCTGACTGCTCCCACAGCAAGAGGTAGGCTGTGTTGGAATTTGCCTACACTCCAGTGTTTGTCAGGGCAAAGGAAATATGAATACTTCCTGCAGAGCAGAGGCAGGCCTAGTGGAGGAAAGAGGCGGCCAGGAGCTGTTTTAATTCCTGCCCAAATAAGCCGCTTAGAAGGGCAATGAGGCTCCAACAGTGAGTCTTTTAAGTGACAGCCAAAAAGCCAGGAGGAGAATGAACTATCCACTGAACTATCCACATCGGTGGAGCAATAGCCAGAAGAAACTCTGAGGTGAGACTCTGAAGAACCCACAGAAGTGCATCTGAGGAAAAGAGTCCACTTCAGACATCACCAGACAGGCCTTTTGGCAGGACCTCTTAAGTTGGAATCTCGTTGCCTTCCGTCTCCCAGCACTCCTCTCTCTCATATCCACTTTGGAGACAACAGCAGCTAGGGAAGGGGAGAAAGGTCATGGAGAAGAGACATAGCTGAGCTTACTCTTTTCCCAGCTGGGGGTGGGAAAAGAGATTTGATTACCTAGTGAAGATTGGTTTGTAGCCTAAAGTGACTGTAGGACTTTGTTATTTAGCACTGGCTAGAAGAAACATGTGGGCCTGCTGAGAGGTCATCCAGTGCCAGGGGAACATTTTCTCCCTGCATACATTTTAAGAGGATAGCCAAGACAAAAATAAAGTTATATTTGATTATATCCTGCAGTTAGTGCACGTTCAGTGGACATAAAAATTCTCTAAACAGGATAGATGACTAAACTATTTTTGAATAAGATTAAATTATTATAAATCAGTGACATTTTTATATAACATAGACTAAAAAATTTGCACTTCTCCTTGAGCAAGCCCATACTAAACAGCTCTGCACATCTGGGGTTGAGGTTGTGCTAGTTCGTCTGGCCAATTGCCTCTCTGCTGTCCACTTCTGAATTCCCCCCACCAACACCTAAGCCAAGACTGCATTGTTTGTACAGTCTCTTCATTGTATGTGTGTGTGTGTGTGTGTGTGTGTGTGTGTGTGTGTTTTATTGAAGTGTAGTTGATTTACAGTGTTGTACCAGTCTCTGCTGTACAGCAAAGTGACTCAGTTATACACATATACACGTTCTTTTTCTATATATTCTTTTCCATTATGGTTTATCACAGGATATTGAATATAGTTCCCTGTGCTATACATTAGGACCTTGTTGTTTATCCATTCTAAATGTAATAGTTTGTGTCTACCAACCCCAAACTCCCAGTCAATCCCTCTCTGTCTTCCCTCCTCCTTGGCAACCACAAGTCTGTTTTCTATGAGTGTGTTTCTGTTTTGTAGATAGGTTCATTTGTGCCATATTTTAGATTCCACATGTAAGTGATATCATATGTATTTGTCTTTCTCTTTCTGAGTTCACTTAGTATCATGATCTCTATTTGCATCCCATTGTGTTTCGTTTTAAGATCATAGTCTCGTTTCTGGTAAGGGAAGAAAGAAAAGAGAATTATTAAAATATACATAATTAAAAAATAATTTAAAAGTTAAGAAGAAAAAGAATTAAATGAAATTGTTAGTCTGAAGATCCATTTGGACCACATTATTAAGAAATGGTCATTAGCACAGGATCTGGACTTAATTGATTTGCTGAGGAAATAGAGTAGTATACTAGTAGACTGTCAGAGCTGGATGGAGTGTTGGAGATCATCTGTTTCATTTTATAAGACAATTTGTTGTTGTTGTTAAAACTCTGAATTATTAATTGTTCCTGTGCTAGATGCAGAGGTTTAGATACATTTTCTCTAATCCTTAATAATTCTGGAAAAGTCTGTGTTCAATTCCCTTTCCAGATGAGAAAACAGACTCAGAGGAAGTGACCTGCTGAAGGATATATTGTTACAGAGCTGGGGGATTTGGACCCAGGTCTGTTTGTTTTATAGCTCATGTTCACTTAGGCCCCACTAGTTTATATACTTTTTAAGAATTTACAGACTGGATATCCTATAAGATCACTCATTTCTTGGGCACAAATTTATGATCATTTGTACTCAGTATGTTTCTCTTTTTGGCTTTCCTTTTGTTTTGGTCTTTACAGATCAGAACAGGAAATTATAACCTGATTCTTAAATCTTTTCTATTGTGAAAGATAGCATACTTTCAGAAAAGAAGATAAAATGTATGTATGGTTTTATAAATAAAGTGAATAATACACAGTAACTGTTATCCAGGTCAACAAACAGCCTACCTGTGTACTACTTGATTCCTTTAACAAAAGCACAAAGCCCAGACTCTAGGCAAATATTCAATTCTTATCTACTGGGTCCAGATGATTATAATTCCTTTTTCTCCCGAGTTTCACCACTGTATTGAGTTTGGTGGTCATCATTTCTTTGCAGTTTGATCACCTAGGCATGTGTTCCTGAACATATCTCAATTTTTTGAAATAAATTTCTTTCCATAGATTAGAAGTTGCTTAAAATTAACCATAGATATCAGGATAGAGATTAATAGTGATTAGGTCACAGGAGAATGTTTGATTATTTAAGAATACAAACTTTTCAAGAGTTCCATTAAACACAAATAATTGCTTTGCTAATTATAATTAATATTGGTCAGTCCTTTCATCCGTGATTCAAATTCGTTACTTATTCCCACTTCCCCCCATTCATCAATCTGGGTAATATCTTTTCTGCATTAATACTTTTCTGAATATGTATTATATCTTATTAGGTAAGGACAAATAGAATTTACCATGTCATAATGTCCCTTTGTTTCCTCTTTTACAGCATGGGTAAGTTCTCTCTCCATGGGGATGATTTTCTTCTGCTGCCCAATTGTCAGCGTCTTCACAGACGTGTTTGGTTGCCGGAGAACAGCTGTCGTGGGTGCTGCTGTTGGATTTGTTGGACTCGTATCAAGTTCTTTTGTAAGGTAAGGGCTTGGCTTCTTCATGTCACTTTTCAAAAACTGTTAGCTACCTTAAAGATTTCCTTTCAGAAACTTTGCTGTTTACAAGGAAAAATCCTCCTTTTCAGTACTTAAACTGTAAGCGGTGTCACTTAACGCATTGTTGTCTACAGCAGTAAATCAGAGCTTGTGAATTTGAATGCTTTTGCTTGCAGTGCCTCAGAGTTAGATGTCAGTCAGGATACATATGTTCTCTGGAGCCAAGAAAAAATGTTTCTCCTTTTGTTTTTTCCATTCACAGAAGAATCTTAACTCATAACAGTAAGTTGTCTGAAACAATGGGCTTAGTTTAAGGTCAGCTCAGTCTGAGCCCCAAAGGGTACAAGAAGTGGTATTTTGAAGTGGTTGTTCATAGGCTTGATATGAAATATTTTTATTAATGAAATCCAGACTTTGCTATTTATTTCAACCCAGGTAGAGAATTCCTGCCTGCATTCTTTTTTTATTTTATTTATTTATTTTTAAAATTTCATTTATTTTTTTATACAGCAGGTTCTTATTAGTTATCCACTTTATACTTATTAGTGTATACATGTCAATCCCAATCTCCCAATTCATCACACTACCACCCTGCCTCCCGCCACTCTCCCCACTGGTGTCCATACATTTGGTCTCTACATCTGCATCTCTGCCCTGCACACCGGTTCATCTGTACCATTTTTCTAGGTTCCACATATATGCGTTAATATACGATATTTGTTTTTCTCTCTCTCACTTATTTCCCTCTGTATGACAGTCTCTAGATCCATCCATGTCTCTACAAATGACCCAATTTGTTCCTTTTTATGGTTGAGTAATATTCCATTGTATAAATGTACCACATCTTTATCCATTTGTCTGTTGATGGGCATTTAGGTTGCTTCCATGACCTGGCTATTGTAAATAGTGCTGCAATGAACATTGAGGTGCATGTATCTTTTTGAATTATGGTTTTCTCTGGGTATATGCCCAGTAGTGGGATTGCTGGGTCATATGGTAATTCTATCTTTAGTTTTTTTAAGGAACCTCCATACTGTTCTCCATAGTGGCTGTATCAATTTACATTTCCATCAACGTTTTTCCCTTGTTGCTTTCAATAATTTTTCTTTGTCTTTAATTTTTGTCAGCTTGATTACTATGTGTCTTGGCATGTTTCTCCTTGGGTTTATCCTGCCTGGGACTCTTTTTAAAAAAAGAACAATGCTGAAATTTAAAAAGATCATGGCAAAATGAAGTGGTCAAATGCAGCTTAAAATAAAACTTCCTATCAACACACTTTTCCCTGTGTCTATTAAAAGCTGTAGTGCACTGCAGAGAAACTAACTGCAAAGAGGTGGTGGGCACATTACCATAGAAGCACCTCTCCCTCCAGCTCCAGTTCTACCTGTAAATCCCCTTTCATTGTCAGAATAATCCCCAGCTAGTGAAACACTGGTTTAATAGGTAGGTCTGGCTAACAGGAGGTGATTAACAAGCAAAACCTTAAGATGATTTTCATCCTGTCTCTACTTTAGTAGTTTATTTTCATCCTGTGACTTTCTCGTCCCTAGCTATCTTCATGCTCTAGTTGAAAAGCATTGTGGTTATTAGGGAAAAAAATCAAACTTATGTTGCTTGCCATCTTTATTTTAATTTATTTTATTTTTGGCTGCTTGGGTTTTCGTTGTTGCTTGTGGGCTTTCTCTAGTTGTGGCGAGTGGGGGCTACTCCTCATTGCGGCGCGTGGGCTTCTCATTGTGGTGGCTTCTCTTGTCACGGAGCATGGGCTCTAGGCACGTGGGCTTCAATAGTTGTGACACGCGGGCTCAGTAGTTATGGCCCACGGGCTCTAGAGCGCAGGCTCAGTAGTTGTGGCACATGGGCTTAGTTGCTCCGCGGCATGTGGGATCTTCCTGGACCAGGGCTCGAACCTGTGTCCGCTGCATTGGCAGGTGGATTCTTAACCACTGTGCCAACAGGGAAGCCCCTACTGTTTATTTTTATTTTTTATTTTATTTTTTTGTTCCTGTGATCTTTATTTATTTATTTGTTTATTTATTTTGGTTGCACCATGCAACATATAGGATCTTAGTTCCCCAACCATAGATCAAACCCAGGCCCTCTGCAGTGGAAGCATGGCATCCTAACCACTGGACTGCCAGGGAATTCCCGCCATGTTTATTTTTAAATATTCAGGACTTAATCAACAGAATCCTTGGTTTGCTAATTTTACCCCCATTCTCCCCACATATACCCCTTCCTGAACTCTAGAGTGAGCCTCTTTCTTTCACCTAACTTAGACATTTTATTTGGCTTCTAAACAATTATTTATTTATTTATTTATTTTTGGCTGCGTTGGGTCTTCGTTTCTGTGCGCAGGCTTTCTCTAGTTGTGGCGAGTGGGGGCTACTCTGTTGCGGTGCGTGGGCTTCTCATTGCTGTGGCTTCTCTTGTTGTGGAGCATGGGCTCTAGTCGCGTGGGCTTCAGTAGTTGTGGCACACCAGCTCTAGAGCGCAGGCTCAGTAGTTGTGGCACATGGGCTCTAGAGCTCAGGCTTCAGTAGCTGTGGCACGCGGGCTCAGTAGTTGTGGCACACAGGCTTAGTTGCTCCACGGCATGTGGGATCTTCCCGGACCAAGGCATGAACCTGTGTCCCCTGCATTGGCAGGTGGAGTCTCAGCCACCATGCCACCAGGGAAGTCCCTAAACAATTATTTTAATTTTTTGTTAGAAAATAAATATTCCACCTTTAAAATGCCTTTGTGTTTTTTTTTCTTCTTCTAAAGTTTTTTTTTAAAGAAACAAAAACCAGTTTTGTTTGGAATAAGATTCTGCTTATGTAGTTCTGTGAGATCATTTACTTTTAGTTTTTCTTTATTAGTAATACAGCATTGCGTGATAACCACCTTGTCAGATACCCACTTGGTCTGGAAGCTTCCAGGTACCCATTGTCAGTATTCTTAGCGCTTGCTGAAGTGTTAACACTCAGGCTTTGGTGGAGAGAGAAACTAAGAGATAGAAAATCCATGTAACTTATTACCTGATTTGGTAGACAAAACACATATACACAAACCTGCTTACAGCAAGCAGTGTTTCTCAAATATTTTTGACCGCTGAGAAATAAAAATTATGAAATGTATTTTACATTGTGACCTAGTTCTTTCTTTCTCTTTCCCTCCCCCATCCCCACCCCTAACTAAAACAAAATGTCTTGAAGCCATCTTTACCTTACTATATGTAATGTTGTCATGTTTTCTATTCAGTTTCATTATTTAACCCCCCACCGATCAAAAGCTACCAAACTTTCAGAACAATACACAGGCGCAAGGGGGAGATATAATGTAAATTCCAAGTGTCAAACAGTGGACCAACCCTCTTTTCCTCCAGTTCAAGTTCTGCCTTTTTTTTTTTTTTTTTTTTTTTTTTTTTTTTTT